TCAGCCTCCCCTGAGATCCAGTTACCCTCCCCCTCTCACACTGACTGCTGGGACACCCTGAAAACCCCAAATCCTGCCGCTCTCCTGCCCGCCCCACCCCCGAAGAAGGGGAACCTCGGAATTGTCTTAACTCAATTGGAACACTTTCTGGACCTCTCGGATTTATTGGAGACCCCCATTAAGAACCCTGTCCCAGCCTTGACTGCTCTGGGGTGTCACTGTTGGGGACAGATCTGTCTCCCCCTCACTGATTGTGAGCCTAGGGCTATTGTGGTCACTGCTGTGTCCCCAACACTGCCTAGTACAGGACCAGGTACAGAAGCAGGCGTTCAGGGAGTGTTTGCTGAATAAATATTAGAGCGTGTGTGTACGTGGAATAGTTGAAAGCATTTTATATGGAAGAAGTCAAAATTCAAACTCCTCACCCTCCTGTTTCTCATCCTGAAAGATGGCATAAGAATGGCGAAGGCAGTGCTTTGGCACCTGAATTTTTTGTTGTCGATGCATCCTAATTCAAAACCGGAATTGGACGTTATCAAGCAGGATATGCTACCACTAATTTAATGTCTCCTTTAGGATATAGAGTCAGCGCCTAGGACAGAACTTCCTGCACTTACTAGGGCTTGCCAGCCAGCCAAGGGCGGAGAGCAAACATACATACAGCCAGTGCGGTCGCTTTTGGAATAGCACGTGACTTCGCAATGCTTTGGGAACGAAGGGGGTTTCTAGCCTCTTCGAATCCCTGTCAAAAATGGGCAAGTCGGGCCAGGTGTGGTAGCTCACATCTGTAATTCTAGCATTTTGGGAGGCTGAGGTGGGAGGATCGCTTGAGGGTAGGAGTTCGAAACCCAGCCTGGGCAATAGGGAGACCCTGTCTCTAGTAATAATAGATAATGAGATTAGCATTTATTTATTTATTTAGTGACAGGGTCTCATTTTGTCACCCAGGCTACAGTCCAGTGGTGTCATCATAGCTCCCTACAGCCTGGAACTCCTGGGCTCCAGTGATCCTCCTGCCTCAGCCTCCTGAGTAGCTGGGGACTACAGGCACGCACCACCCCACCTGGCTAATTTTTCTATTTTTCATTGAGACGGGGTCTTGTGACGTTGTTCAGGCTGGTCTTGAACTCCTGACCTCCAGCGATCCTCCTGCCTTGGGCCTCTCAGAGTGCTAAGATTACAGGCGTGAGTCACCACACCAGGCCCAAGATTAACATTTAAATTGGTGGATTGTGAGTAAAGCAGATCGCCCTCCATGAGGCGGGTGGGCCTCATCCAATCAGTTGAAGGCCTTAAGAGAACAGAGACTGACCTCCTCCCAGCAGAAAGGAATTCTGCCAGCGGACGGCCTTCAAACTCAAACTGCACCATTGGCTCTTCCCTGTGTCTCCAGCCCACTGACCTACCCTGCAAATTTTGGACCTGACAGCAGCCATAATCATGTTAACCGATTCCTTCAAATGAATCCCTCTCTTCCTCTTGGCCAAGGACAGTTTGCAAAAAAAAGAAAAAAAAAGGAAAAAAGAAAAAAGGGAGGAAAAGCATTTTTAAAAGAAAAATAAATAAAAT